CATAGCTTCGCCAAATATTTTGGCTCTGGTGTCATCGTCAGTTCTATTCTTTGACCTTGTGCCCGTTTCTCACCGTTGAGACAGATAGCCACTTCATTTATCCACTTACTCAGCCCAGCTCTCGATGAACTCGGATCTCCGTGCTTATCCCCCGCATGGCAGCAATATGTACATACACTCTTTACCTCTTGTTTTTGTCATCTTCACCAATCGATCATTAGCCGTATGCCCTCGCACTCGCAATGCTCAGTCTTTTCTCTATATTCATCATAGAACTTGTCGCCTTCCGCTGGGGGACAGCAAAACTTGCAGCACTAGGAATTAAGCATGGTATGTCTTTTCACATGTCCTAGTCAATCACTCCTGAACATCACCACAGACGCCCACGGACATGGTATCGGATCTCATGCTGCCCACGGTCCTGAAAATAGGCCTGAGGCCACCCCTTCTGAGGGTAATTCGGTGTACGACAAACATCCGTCCGACATCGAGGCCTCGCATCAGCATGCTGACCATGATGGTTCTGGGTTGGCCCAAATCATCGGTGTATTCATTTTGGAGTTTGGGGTTCTTCTTCATAGGTGACATCTCATCTTGGAACTGTGGTAGCCAACCTATAACGTTGGTCGCAGTCTGCTTATTGGACTCACCCTCGCTGTCGATCCCGACTTCAAAGTGCTATTCGTAGTAATCATATTCCATCGTATGTCCCCTCTTTCCTCAGGGGGCCGTCTAGCTAATTCGATGCTCTAGAAACATTCGAGGGCCTTGGTATCGGCTCACGACTAGCATTTATGAACCTTCCCCCCCGATACAACTTTGTCCCTGTGTGCGCAGCCATTCTATACGCCATCACGACACCGCTAGGCATTGCTGTGGGTCTTGGTATCCGAAACACCTACAATCCCGACAGCACAACGGCATCCATCGTCAGCGGTGTAATGGACGCTCTGAGTGCGGGAATCTTGATCTACACCGGGCTGGTCGAGGTAGGTCTCATCACCCTTGTCGAGGGCCTCGTCTGATTTCCATGTACCAGCTGCTAGCACATGAGTTCATATTCAACAAGGATATGAACACCGCGTCGAACGGAAAGGTTGCTTATGCAGTGTGTTGCATGTTGCTCGGTACTGGTGTCATGGCATTGCTAGGACGCTGGGCATAACGTTCAGCGGTACTGGTCAATGGGCGACCAACTAGATATATATGTCATGGCAGTGCTGTTTGTGAGGTATCTATGTACACTTGTCACATTACCTTGTGTGCAGCGAATGTGACATATTTGCTTCCACGGTACAAAGACTATATTTTCAACTATCTCAGCCGTTTCTCCACGTATTGGCTTGGTTCAAGCTCGGGGTAGTTTCGTTCTAGTGTTAGAACATGTGTGTAGTTGGGGACGAATGAATCAAGTGGTACATTCTGCCAGACTGCTGACCTCTGCTAATGACGGCCGCGCTGTACAGCCTGCTCCCTACGGCAGTGATGAATTCGGAATCCTCCCCTCGGTGCCTCACTGGGCCTCACAGTACTGTTCGTATATATACGCTCGGCTTGCTCCTTCATGTTCCTTCAGCCATTCCACATCCAAGCTCCCTGCTGTGCCAATGGTATTGTCGCTCCGTGACGCCCTCGTCCCCCTGATTGTGCTACTCATCGCCGCCCGCTATGTTGGTAACCGAAGCAAGGGCGCTAGTAAATTTCCCCTGCCTCCGGGGCCAAGGGGACTCCCTTTGCTGGGAACCGCCTTAAGCATCGATTTCACTAAGCCCTGGGCCACTTACGTCGAATGGGGTGCTTCGTTCGGTGCGCATGCTTACCCTGGTCACCTTGCGGCACTGACAGTCCACGGAAATTCATCACAGGAGACCTCATCTACACTCGCATCCTGAACATGGACGTCCTCATTGTAAACTCTGCCAAGGTAGCTCGCGACTTGTTCGAGCTTCGATCAACCAACTACGCAGATCGGCCACGCCTTGCAACAGTTAAACCGTATTACCGCGCATGTCCCCACAGTCGTGACTTTTTCACTCATTGAGTGGCCACAGGTATGGAATTGAATCTGGCACTATTTTCATGCCATACGGCGACACCTGGCGTCTTCATCGTCGTATCTACCATCAAGCCTTGAACTCGGAAGCTGCCTTGAACTATCGACCAATGCAACTCAAGAAAGCTCATCACATGCTTCTCAATTTGCTTGACGATCCAAAGCGTTTCCCTGCGCATCTCTATACGTCTGTGTCGTCACTCTATCCTCCTCTCATAGTTGATTAACACCACAATACAGCTATTCCTCGTCAATTATCGTGTCGATTGTGTATGGATATGCCCCAGCCCCAACAAACGATCCTCTCGTCGAGTTTGCTAAGAAAGGTATGGCGGCCATCGTGAAGGCCGCGCGACCAGGGACGGCCGCCCTTCTCAAGATGTTTCCATTCCGTAAGTCACATTGCACAACCAACTCGTCCTATCCTGACCCCACGTTACCCCCAAGTCCTGAAGCTACCCACATGGATGCCTGGCTCGTTCAAAGCCGAAGCGGCTGAAGCAAAGCAATACGCGGACGACTTTCGTGCAATTCCTTATCAAATGGTGAAAGAAAAAATAGTGCGCACGTGTCGTATTTTTCTCCACACCGCTCTAACAATCTCCAAGGCATCCGGAACGGACGCGCCATCGATGATGGGCAACGCCATAAAGCACAACGAGACCAAAGGTAACTCGCCAGAGGTAACGGACGCCATCAAAAACACTTCCTCGGCTGCCTATGGCGGTAAGTAGACGCAGATGTGATTTCATTCAGAAAGTAGCTCACCGTTCGACACAGCTGGGTCAGACACAGTGAGCCCTTCTTGCTACCTTTTCTTTGCAAGGTCTGATGAAGAGAACATAGACAGCCTTCAGCCTTCAGGTGTTCATCCTCGTGATGGTACTGTTCCCAGAAGCCCAGAGAAAGGCACAGGAGGAGATTGATTGCGTAGTAGGGCGTAACAGACTTCCCAACTTTGATGATAGGTCTTCGCTGCCTTACGTTGAAGCGCTTATGCGAGAGAGCATGAGATGGCACCCTGTGGCTCCTCTGGGTCAGTTGCACCAGTCACTCTGCTCCTTTCACTGACTCTTCTTGAACGCCTCGAAGTGGCACACGCAACGACCAATGAGGACGTGTACGAGGGCATGTACATCCCGAAAGGTTCGTCCTCCAGTCTGCTAATTGTTTCCCCCTGAGACCCAAATCTCGTTATAGGGGTAACGATCTTGGTCAATTCATGGTGTGTATCCGAATTGATTTTCACACGACCTGGCATTTAACCGACTTGGCAGGGCTATAGCCCACGATGCAAAGACATACCCAGAACCGTTCCAATTTATCCCAGAACGTTTCCTCAAAGAAGATGGCACACTCACAGAGGATAATGTCTCTTACGCCTTCGGTTTCGGACGAAGGTCTGTTGCAATTACACCGAATCAAAGGTGACAAAAGGCTAACAAGGCCTCAGGGTCTGCCCAGGCAAATACGCCGCCGATGCATCCCTTTGGATAGCGATCGTCTCCCTACTCGCATCATTCTCTTTTTCAAAGGAGAAGGACGAGCAAGGTAACGACATTGATATCCAGCCCAAGTTTACACCCGAGGCGACTTCGTGAGTGTTTTCTTCGCTGCAGTCGTGTGCACCCCATTGTCTGGTATCTGATAAGCAAACTACAGACGCCCCGAACCGTTCTCGTGCAGGATCGTGGCCCGGAGGTCTGCGAGTGATACCAAGGAGATGGTCATGCAGCACTTGGATCAACATTCTTGAAACAGAGAAAATAGGTCACGGGCCAGTGTTAGGTCTCAGTCAGATCGTGCGTCATGTACATAGCAGCGCGTCAAACCATCATGATCATCCAACGCTCGAGTGGAGGCTTGTAACAGAAGTGCACTGTACAAGTCTCTCGCACGTCTTGTCTTCCATTGATTCGGTTTGAGGAATTGCCTCACCCGACACGCGTGTTTGAAGGCTTCTATCGTCTGCTTCTTCCCGTAAATTCGTGGTGCACATGATCATGACAGATCAACTGGTTCGTTCGCCCCACGTAGCAATCCTACGCTATCATAGTATGACCTGTCGCCACGAAATAAGTACCTGGAAGATATGACCCCCACGACGTACGTCTCTCTCATAAGAAATCCTGTCTCCGGGTCAACGACGACGGCCAGGTTCATGAAAGCCAGTCCTAACTCCTATGATTGGGTACTTACCTACCTCTCCGTTCCACGGGGAATACGGTACTAGCGTCGAACCATGAGTGGGTGATCCCGCACGACATCGAGCAACTATGCAAGGGCACGTTCACATACCCCCGTAGGTGGCCGATCAGCGCTCCGAACGCAAGCGGACGGCCGCAAGACACAGCGGGTATGGTCCTCCAACACAAACGCCACCCCAAGTCGCATCAGGGAAACCGACCTCCTCAAAACGTCTCCGTAGACGTTTTGAGCTATGCGATCGACGGCATCGCCATCCACATAGACGATAGACCGTGTTTACCGTTCTGCAGTCGACGGCGGACGGGCCGTCCACGGGTCTTATCGATGGGCTTGGGTGTGTTGATAGAAACTGCGTGCGTCTTCTCAGACCTGGCTTTCGGCCTCGTCTGGGAACGCGTATGGGCCAACACTCATGACGAGGTTCAGTGGGCCACCTTCCACGAAATGTCCAAGGACTTCCGGTGTGAGACAACATCCACGGAATGCTGCCCCAGGAACTGGGACCCACAGTCGATGGCCGTGTGAAGGGGGGAAAAAGAACTGAAGGGAGATCCGAGGCCCGTCTCTGATCATCCAATGCCTCAAACTTGGCTTTGGAAGACCATGTTGACCAAGCGTTATATCGACACTTGTGATATTACCGTAATGCACTTGGAGAGTAGGAATGACGACCGGGAATGTGAGCGAGCGAACAACAGACGCATGAATAGACGCAGACATTTCATGAGTGCAAAAAGATTGGCCAACGTGGGGATCGAACCCAAGACCTTCGCGTCACGTGACTGACGGCTGTTCAGTGTGGCTAACGAACAGCTGCCAGTCAATGTATTAGCACGACGCTCTAACCAACTGAGCTAGTCGGCCGCCGTCTCCTATTCCTCACGCTGGCTACCTCATTGCAACTCTCCAACGAACCGAAAAAAGTCGATCATTACAGATCACTACTCGTAGCAATCTCAGGGCAAGTAAGGCGGTATGATATGCCCTCCTCGCAGTGTGGCTGGTTGTCATAACCAGTGTAGAATTGACATCGGATCCTACCCATCCAAGGCGATAAACGACGATGCCTAAACAGATGAAACCGATGGCACCACTTAAGCAAGGGTAGCGAACCCAACAAGCGAATTGCTGACGTCGACAGCACTTGTGTAAACATTTCCGAGGAATCGAACGTGGTTGCCAAACAGTTTCATTGTCATTAGCCCGCAAGTCTTCCCCACGAGAGCAGAAAATCGGACACTCACAAGCACCAGCAATATCCCGCCCAACAACACCGCCGACGTAGGCAGAAGAGTCGGGGCTGCGCTGAGGGTTTCAGCGGAGATAAGGGGTGGCGACGAGATAGGCCGGGAAGATACTGATGTCGTAGCCTAGACAGTGCTAGATGTAGTTAATTCACGGCGTGATGAAACAAGAGTAGGGGTATGAGAAAGCCGGACCTTGCAGCCTACCTGGGCAAAAAGTGCTGAGAGTATAGACATGCAGGTCAAATATAGACTGGTCCCAGTGGCAGTCACTCTCCCGAGAACCGCAAATTCGATGGCGACTAATACTAGTCTGATAGTAGCTCACGGGACTGGGAACGAAGTTCTGGATATGGTGACAAGTACAGCGTAGATTACGTGAAATACATACAATAACCCATGGTACAATAAGACAAGGATTTCGATGATATTGAAACCTCATGCGTACTAGATTCCAGGCGGGTTAGCAGCCTTGTCGGAACCGCAAGGTCAATGAAAACTCACTCTAGTAAATGTTCCCATCGTCATGAACGTTTCTTTCCTTGGGGGATCGTTCTTTCCACGATATAATGATTTTACAGCGTCGCTCATGTTAGCCTCGCGTTTTGCCGCCTCAACTGCGAGAGTATTCGAAAGAGCTCGTGATGCAGTAGATGCAGAAGGATTCAAAGGGGGCGCAGGCGAAGGCGAATGTCCCGCTGGCGATCCTTTCTTCTTCTTGGAGGTTATGGCAGCCTCTTCGACAAGTCCAACTACACCCGCTTTCCGCTTCTTCGTTTTCGACTTCGGGGGTTCACGGGAACGACGAAGTTCCATGGCCACACGCATGCGTTCTTCCTCCTCTTCAGGGGGATTGATATTTAAAATGTCGGAGGATCGGGTGAATTTGGTGGCACAGTTAGGACAGACCTCAAGCTCATCTTTGCCAGCAGAATCGCCGTTGTTCTCCTCGCTGCTAGAGGTCTCCCGGGTGGGCGGGCGTGTTCCAAGAACTGTACGGAGACCCGACTGTGAGAAGACACAGCCGCAGGACTGAATATAAACGAAGGGCTGTCCCCCATTCATCTCCCTGACGGTGAGAGGGCAGACAAATCGAGCGATTTCACTAGGCAAAGCATCGGAAGGGGGCGTCGGAGTTGATCGAGCTGTAAGTTGCAGGGTTTTGACGTCCTATAAAAAAGGTGAGCATGCGGTGCTGTAACGATCTATAGGCGAGACGTACCTTTAGTGAGCGGATATGTCCACATATCTTTTCTCCGTCCCCATAAGCGGACTTGTCCAAGAGATATTCTATTATCGCATCCTTGTTGTACAGTTTTCCTAGACCACAAGCGACAACCGGTTCCTGAAGCAAGCGCTGGAAGATATTGACTTAGCATGATGTACTTTCAATCTATGAGACAAGCCATACCTTTGAAAGTGCACAGAAAAACCACCTGGCTCGAAGTTGGTTGGCCTTGTCAGCTTGCTCAGCCTTGGGCTTGTTCTTCACAAGATCCCGTCTGTCGGGGATACTGCCTCCATCATTTCCCATGATGACGACTAAGAACGTGATGGTTTCAGACAAGTTCCTAACGACAGATAGTTGAATGCTATTCAAACAGTGTTGTTTGTGCGTATTAGATTCCAAGGCTCTTGCCTTTTTTGGGCTCCTCTGAATTGTGCCGTTCACAAATCACAATTATATAATTCGTAAGGAAAGCCGCCGCGTGACTCCAGCAGCGCTGAAGCTCACAGGAAACTTGTTGTGCAGTTCCATCACCACCATCTTCCATGAAAAACGCATTCTAGATGCTCTATAAAGTGATAGTAAAGGGGAAGAGGCCCTTGCAGGCCGCCTCTCATGCAATTTCATCCACTACGAGTGCTGCTGCCAACACTTCTTCTGCCATTTTTTCTAGAGTATTTGTAAAGCGAAGGATCAGCTTATCCGGCACGGTACGCTCTTTGAAAAGGAGCGCTTTCAGGAGGACATTCTCTACCAGAAATGTTATTCCACCTGAATCACCTCAACAACTACCTGGTGCCTCGTCCACCGTCCCACTCTACAGTTCGCTCGTTCTCATAGGCGCCCGCTCGCAACAGACCTAACCCACAATTCTCACAGGTAAACTAGCATCAGCATGGACCCAAACTCCTACGAAATGGTATCCCCTTCCTCTGGCTGTTGGTGCACTCCTCCTCGTGATGATCCAGTACCACAAAAAGAGCGCACGTGCCGAGAAAGAAGTTCACGTTGATGAAGAAGGTCATGAAGTTATCAAGCTCAAAGGTCCTTGGCAGGTAAGTATATGTGTTTGCTAAATGCATCTCTTCTCAATTCTTGGCAGGTCCATGTTATTGGTGCATTACCGCTTCGCAACATGTCTCGGGTCTGGGGTTACATGAACTCTTTCGAGCTACCCATCTGGATTCGCCCCTACAGTTTTCGATTCTACGCTTATGTTTTTGGATGCAACCTGGAAGAGATTGAACCAAGTGACTTGACGAAATATGCCAGTCTAGGACAATTTTTCTATCGACAGCTCAAAGCGGGCGCACGGCCGGTTGATAACACTGTTCTAGTGAGTCCTCTCCACAACGTACGAAATGCGCCGTTAAGTGTGCCCCTTAGGTTAGTCCCGCTGATGGTACCGTGCTTCACTTCGGTACCATCGATAATCTGCGCGTGGAACAAGTGAAAGGGATTACTTACTCTCTGGACGCGCTGCTCGGCGTAGAACTGTCCGACCCAAGCAGTCCCACATCGCCAACGTCCACAGTGATAGACTTTCCTGCAGATGAAGAAGAATCAGTCGACCATCGGGAATTTGCCATCGTCAACGGAATAGAATATAGTCTCGACAAACTCTTGGGTGCCTCTACGCCAAGCATGCATGGTTCGAGGACGCCTTTAGAACGGACGACTTCAGATCCTGACAATCCATGTGATGTACCCCACAAACACGGCGCTCAAATTGACGCATCGGTTGAGCAAGAAGGCAGCCCCCAAGAGACCCTTGCACATGATGCTTCCGTGGTTCGCGAAATGGGTGTTCCAGAGTCACTTGGAATACGCAAGAGAAGCATCTCTGGAAGGAGTGTTAGAGACGGGAATTCACTCTACTTCACTGTGATATACCTCGCTCCTGGAGATTACCATCGGTTCCACAGCCCTACAGCGTGGGTGGTAGAGAAACGGAGGCATTTCATTGGTGCGTGTCACTGTGTACTGCTTTGACCGCAGACTGACAAGCCGGCCAGGTGAATTGTTTTCGGTATCTCCCTACATGGCCAAGCGTCTACAGAACCTATTTGTACTTAACGAACGAGTTGCACTGCTTGGAAGATGGAGATATGGATTCTTCGGCATGATTCCCGTCGGCGCGACTAACGTCGGTAGTATCAAAGTCAACTTCGACTCCGTAAGAAAAACACTAATTCTAATTCTCTCTTAAAACATTGAGACTGACATCCAAATTCAGGCACTTCGTACCAACGTCCGTGGTCGCCCACCTCCGCCGGGGACCTATACTGAAGCCGTCTACTCCGCCGCATCCCCGCTTCTCAATGGCCAACCTCTGACCCCTGCCCAAGAAATGGGAGGTTTCTATCTTGGCAGCACGATCGTTCTGGTGTTCGAAGCACCAAAGACTTTCGAGTTTGCCATCAAGGCAGGGCAGAAAGTCAGAGTTGGAAACCGCCTGGGCGATGTCCCAGGGGCTTTCACAACCGTGGGGAAGCAGAAGACTGAGTGATACTGGTCTCTTCCAAGCCCCCCCTGATGTGGATTCAGATGCAAGAATTGAACTGGGATACACACTTGTGACCGTCATGGAGTTATCGAGGTATCTGTACATACCCCCCATTGCGTTCGAAATTTATCTGCCGGAAAAACAATGATTTTTGAACTTCTTGTGTGAAGGCGAAGACATTACATATTACTATGGTAGGGCAAGTTGATGCTTACAACGTTAACCAGGCTTGTGATCAGCTCGTCTGACCACTACTACTAGCGGAGCCACGGGTGATGACAAGGATGTCTCCAAGGGGAGTCTTTTACATAGCAAGGATCTCATGTTCTATCCTCCTCACGTCAGTCACTCGGATCCCTTGGCATTTGAACGTGGTGCACGGGGGTACGGCCTTCGTAAAGACACAGTATCGGTCGTGGAAGGATTTAAGCACGCTATACGGCCAAAGTGAGCATCTTGTGTCTTTTATCTCTCGCTTTCGAGGGTTTATTGACCTCTCGAAGCATCTGACTCTATAGGACACCCTCGCAAAGCAAAAGTGAGATAGACGGACCGGGATCGCCAAATCTTGAGCATTCGTCCCAATTGACGTTCGTGGGGATGCGACTGGGACTATATGTGGCATTACAGCAGTGTCATTCTCGTGGCTCCCATTTCTGTTACACCGTTCCCCCTGTTCATCTCCTTTCTCACCTACAATCGAACGAAAAATGTTCCAGAGTATGCTCTATAGCTACGCATCCGCCTTATCTGGCTTGCTTGCTATGGACAACACTGTGGCATACAGGGGTCTGCGCTACTCCCCATCGTAAATCATGACGCCTCACCCTCACCCTTTTATCATTTCACCCGGACATGGAGGAATGTCTTGGAAGGACAATGACGG